GGCCACCGACATGTTAGAAATTTAAACATTTCCTGAACATATCATACTACGAGACTACACACTCTAATACAGTAGGTGGCAGTATGCACACAAACACAGTCTTTTGCATTTTAAACTCCTTTCCAGAATTTTTTTTTTTTCTTGGGAGGTGAAGTTTATACTGGACTGGTTTGTTTATCGATGCAGAAGATGTTATCACACAATATCCTCAAAAGTCTTTTTTTGTTTTGTTTTTGTTGAAGACAGCGCTGATGAACTCGCAGGAATTGAAGAAAGCCACACAAAGATCTTCAACAGCTCTGATTCTCATTTTTTTAGTTTTCATAGCAACCTGCCATCTAGTGGAAGAGTACTGTATATAATTGTTCTGCCTGACATTATACATTTGCGATCAAGGAAATACATTTTGGTAATAAATGAATAATAGTTTAAGTAAGAATTGTAATAACAAACTGTTGGAGTGCTCCATACATTTTGGACCAAGTCTAAACCTTCACTTCTACAGAGGGTCATTTATTTCAAATAAATGATTTATTTTCTGGTATCCCATTCAAATCTCTGCCTTTCAAATACAGTTAGTGAAAACCTCAATAATTGTGAAGGACAATAATGTTTCTGACGTCTGTCAGCCTTTATGTTAATCTACTTTGGGTTTTTTTAATGACTTGTTTTTAAATTAAAAAAGAATCATTATCTTTCTTTCTGTTTGACACATAATAACCTCCTGTATTTTTGTCAGTCAGTGAAAGAGCCGGGCCATCCACATGCCACCTGTTTCTGCCTTTTTATGATTACACAGAAAAGAATCAAAGATTAGTTGAAGTCTTTTGACAGATAATAGTTAAAGCAACTAATTTTGTTTTGAGTACACAGTTTTTTTCTGTCATCTGCTGCAGTTATTTCTTCTTTTTTTTTCTCTTCCTTTGGTCCATCCTCAATTTATTCCTTCTTCCCTTCCTTCCTTTCTCCTTCTTTCCTCTCCTTAATTTCTTCCTTAGTTTTCTGCCTTTCATCCTCCCTTTCTTCCTTCCATCCTCCCTTTCTTCTTTCACCCTTTTCTTTTTTCTGCTTTAACTCTATACCTTTGTTTTTCACCTGGTTTGTTGTTTTGACTTAGAGGCAAAAGTCTGCCCCCTGGAGGTTTGCTTTGTAACATCCTAACTTAGCGGCTCCTTTCTCCTAACAGTTTTGTGTGACTTCTTACAACAGGCCAACTTTCCATCCATTCATCCATTCATCCATTCATCTATTCAAACACCAAACCCCCCCCACCCCTCCAACCCACAACCCCGTGAATTAAAATACTATTGAGAACAGAAGGACATTTTGATTCATATAAAATCTGTCCAGTGTCATGAATGGCCGATGGCAGGACTTTGAACTCTCCTACACTCTACACTACACTGTGTCATTACAAAGACGGATCTTTCTTCTCCACTGCCCACTTTTCGTCCTCCTGCCCCACCTTACCAGGAGATAACAACCTGTGGTCAGACCATAAATCATCCTGATCGATCTCCCTCACTGGTCCATGAGCAGAGACACAGCTGCTGCTGCTGCTGCTGCTGCTGCAGGAATCGTCCTGTTTAAGGTGGTCCAGAGTCTAAAGTTCTCAAGTACAAACACGTGACGTTGATTTAGGCTTTTCTCCATTTGGTGCAGCAGCCGGGCCAAACTGACCTCAGCTCATTAGGGAAGATGGATGAGTTTTCAGAAGAAATAAAACCTGACCCATCACTATCTGTGATCTGCTGACTGTGGTCTCCGCTCTGACTTCTCAAAGCTTCGATGTTCCTGTTATCCACGCTTTAAAAATGAATTTTTAAAGGCTAAAATGTTAAAGTGCTTTTAGCCTTTTCTAAGCCATCTATTGGGGAAATGCAGGCATTGCAGGGTAGAAAGGCAGAAATATAATTTAAATAGAAATTAACAACTTAATTTGGACACGTTTGGCAGGCCAGACTAAAAAAGTCAAACGGGCCGCATCTGGCCCCCGGGCCGTAGTTTGCCCACGCCCGTTCTACTGTATATTCACCTGATAGAGTGATGATGATTACTCCTCTTTATCATCACTGATGATAACGGCACATTGTGTCGTTACTCCTCTTCATCATCACTGATGATAACGGCACATTGTTGGCTGAAGGACTGATTTCAGATTGTGTCTTTATCTCATGTTTTCATCTGCAGAGAGGCCGACATTCACGGTCTCCCTGTGCTGCACATTAATGGTGAAATATTTTGCCTGGTGGAATTCAAGAGCAGTGACCGTGAAAATCCAGTCTCCTCTAATAAACTACTCCTGACTGTGCATATTAAGATGTAGTCGGTGAAGTGAGTCGCCGAGGCCATTTGGATAAACAGCGATCCTCGGCTGCCGCTGAAGTATTTTCATCGCCGAGGTTCGTGTAGTTCACACTCATCTTGAAATCCCTCTGTTCTGCTCAACCTCACTTTGGCACATCATTAGTATTTCGGCGCCAACAACCTGACAGACGCTGCTAAATATATCAAGTGGGTTCAAAAGAAAGAGTCTCTTCTAAATGTCACTGATCAAGTGTGGTTCATCAGCTTCACTCCTCCACAGTTCTAACGAAATATCTGAACAGTGTTTTAAAAACCTGTCAAAAAATCATAATAAACATTTACAGTTTTTTTAATTTAATATATGATAGGTTTATTTGAATTAATTCATTTAAATGATTAATTAATGAATTAATGACATGGGCGTCGCTCTTCACCACATCGTCTAATTACACTGCCTTGGAAACAAAGAAAGCTCTCTCCTGTGTTTGAAGTGTTTTGAAAGTTGTCTTCGAAAAGTTTTCGCTCCACATCTCTGTGGTGATTAGGCGGAAACAACAGCAACAAACAGTAAACAGTGGTTGACGTTCTCCTACCTTTGTTTGTTGACAGGTGGTGCGGATGCTCTGTTGTTGCCATGGAGCGTGGTTCTGCAGGGAGGACAGGGATGTTCTGTTCTCGGGATGGGTCAGACACTTGTGTGGGCGGTTGATATAGATTCTTCAGACAGCATTTCTTCATGTCTCCTTCTCTTCTGGTCCAAGTCCTCATCACAGTGACCACTAACTAAACAATTATTCTTTTTTTTCACCACAACCAATTTGGCTTCTTTAGTCAATTTGACAGACAAATTGACAGACAGAACAATTTAATTCTCTTGCTCTTCTTGCCCTTTCACTAGGTGGCAGTAGATGCTATTAACAACAACAACAAAAAGAGACTCAGGCACAGACACTGGCATTTGTAATGTGAGGAAGGGTATGGTGTGATACCGCTGATGTGAACTGACAATGATGGAAGCAAGCCGTATAAATGACACAGTAGGGGGCAAAACACGTAATAACCGTAGGGTCAGAAATAAGTTGGAGTGGGGGCAAAATCTCCTGTGATTATCTAAAATTGTTCCAGAATTGTCCATCAGTCTCACAGTACAAATAAATACATATTATTGATGTAAACATAGCAAAACCTGTATTTTATTTGATACATTTTCTGCCCTGTAGGGCACAATATTTCTTCTTTTTAAATCAATATAACAGGTAAAGGTGTTTAACTCAGGAGTTACTAAAATAACAGGAAGACAGATTGAAGATTAATACCACGGAAACTAGCCAGAAAATGATAAAAATTAACCGAGAAGCAAATTATACATATATACATAAATATACATTATACGTGAAATAGGCTAAATGTTCGCATCATTGTGCTAGTACAAAAATGGTAGTAAATTGTAAAAAAAAAAAAATTAAAATAATTATAAGATAGCTATGCCTATAGCAAGACTAATAATAAATAAAACATTCTAAAAAATAAAATGTATAAGATAGCTATGCATAGCAAGCAAGACTAATAATAAATAAAACATTCTGAAGTTAGCCAGAATTAGCATAAGAATAAATGAGAGCAGGAGAGACAACGATTAAAGGTTTATGAAAGAAAGCTCATGTTAGCAATTAAATGTTACGTTAGCTCCCTCCCAAGAGTTGACACTTTTTAAACAGGACCGTTTATTTGACTTACAGCTACGGACAAAAACCAGATGCTCAAAGTCAGAGAGACAAAGCAAAGCATTTTAGCATCAGTGAAACTTCAGTGGTTGACAGATAAATGAGTTGTGAGTGTGAACAGTAAGCTGGTAGAAAATCTGTCATGATGGCATGTAAAGTTTAGATTGTGACCGGAGCAAATCTCCCTGCTGTTGTGTGCTGGGGGCCAGGCTGCTATGTTATTGTCTGACTCCACAGAAACTGTCAACATTAGCATTTCGACTTCTAGCTAACAACACCACGGTACTTTGGGGATTGCTGTTCCCTTGTCAACAATATGTATGCACAGACCTAAGTTTCACAGGTCGTCTTTGTTACATAAAATTCAAACCACAGCTGTAAATATGTCAGAAATTATTTTAAAAATATAAAAAAATGGTTTGCATTTAGGCTATGAATCATTACAAATATACTTAATTATTCAACAAATATGGCGATAATATTTTTATTATCCATTTGTTCTTTTATGAACTACTACTTTGAACTACTACTGCGTTGCCACTGATCTTGGTTTTCTATTTTTTAGTTTTTACCTCTTCATGCACTGTGTAAGGGTCAGTAAATGTCACAAGATGAAGACGTATATCTGCTGCCATCTAGCGGAGAAAGCAAGTCATGTGTTTGCGTTTTAATATCAGTATTAAGATGCTTTCAGACCACTTTATCATCCATTCGTTCTTTTATGAACTACTACTGCCTCACAAAATGAAGACGTATATCTGCTGCCATCTAGCGGAGAAAGCAAGCCTAAGCGTAAAATGCAGAGTTTTGAGGTGGATCAAAATGAACTGTTTCTGCCTTGCATACTTGCCAGTTCTGGTTGGGATGAGGAGTAGGTGCCTGGGTTGGTAGATAAGGTTACCGCCATGTAGGCTGGTTGACGACGGTGACGCACGGCCAGTAGGTAAGTGGTTAGTAGTACCTTTTAGAATTGTAACATCTTAAAAGCTTTTGAACTGTCTTTTTATGTAGGTTTTTACGTAGGTATGTTATACTTTGGACCAAATTCCAAAGTACGTATGTGTTAAAATAAATGTTAATAAGAACTATGACTTCATAAAAGCTACAATTAAATCTGTTTGCATTTTAATATCAGTATTAAGATGCTTTCACGTTCGTTGGTTACCATTATAAATAAAGCTGAGTTTATAGCGAATTATTATTGAAAAGATCGCGATCTGAAATTGCTGAGGTCACCCGTCTTGTTATTGGAGGTAATTCCGACCAGTTACCATTTGTTGGCGGTAGTGGACCAATTCAGTTTTTTTTTTTTTTTTGCCATTAAACAGGAAAAAGAATAGATTTGTATGATGTCACTTCCGTTCCGCGAAACTCAACTTTTGGCGCTCTGCGACACCGGTTTTTGGAGACAACGCGTCGTTGAACATGGACCGAACATCGTTTTGACTTTTGTAACTGAAACAATCGTTATCTCCACGGTGCCGTCGGTAACATTATTATTGTAAAAGGTTTTATATACTTCAATCAGCGACAACATGAACAGGGGCAACCAGAAGAACAACAAGGTAAGTGCGGATTTTCTGTATTGTTCCTATATGGATCCTGGAACTGTTGGATGTTAGCAAAAAGACAGTTACAGGTACAGTCACTCAAACGCAACTAGGAATTAGCCTGAGACGGTGAAAGTTGGTGTACACAACTGTAAACCACGGTGTACAAGCCACATCTGATTTAGAATTCTGTCCGAAGTTAATCTACAAAGTCTTAGGTATTATAAGCATCCGTACCGGCTACTCTTAATATATTTATTAAAATAGTTTGTTGATTGTTCTAACCAGAACTACTATTGTTTTTATCATCTAAAATGTTTTCTGGCAGGGGATTCTGGGAGGACAGAGTAACATCTCGTCGTTCTTTTCTCAGAAACCTAAGGTAACTTCAATTTTACTAATGTGTTTTTCTGTTATGGTTAACGTGTAGCTACTTACAACCTTGTTTGGTTATTCTTTATTTGAAATTATTTTGGTTTTTATTTAGTTCACTTTACCTTGTTCTCATTTTTGGTAAAAGAAAACAAATTAATATTAGAATATTTACAATTGCAGTGAGTGAAATAAATGAATGAAGAGTCATGTAGTCATTTGACCTCTTGTTTATTTATTTTTTTCATCTGTCTTCACCAAGACTGAGCCTCAAATCAAAGATTGTGCATCTGCTCCAGTGAAACGCCACACTCCCTTGAAGGCGACCATCCATGAGAACCTTGAAAACCTGCCACCCTCGCCAGATCTTCTGTCTGTTCCGGAGACACCCAACAGTCAGATTAGACCTTACGAATCCTCACCCTGTCGGGTAGCAGATGGACGGACTCCTCTGTCCAGTAAGAAATCCTCTTCCTTCTGTCTCAGCTCCGGCTCCAAGGGGTCGAGTGTCCTGAGGACCAAGAAGCCAGAGGGTTGTTCCGCCTCCATAAAAAGACTCTTCAGTCCTCCTGAAGGGTCTCACAACGCAAAGAGACCTAGAACTGTGCTGGGAACTGCAGTTTCCACCCTTAATTTAACAGTGTCCAAGAATGATGAGTCAGAGATCAGGTCTGAGAAGTCAAGAGGAGGAAATACAGGTACGAATGTTGATTCTGACCTAAAACCACAGGTCATTAATGCAGCCATGTATAATAAATATATGTAATCAATCATTTCCCTTTAGGAACATAATTTGAGGGAGGCTTAAAACTAGTTAACTGGTTAATTTGTGTCTTAGAACTTTTTGACTTCCATTTTTCCTCTAGCAGAAACTATCTCAGCTGCACCACGTGAAGTGTTGGACATAAACCACAAACAGTCTATAAGAACTGCTGTGACATCACCAAATGAAAACAATTCTAAGGGACCGTCAACCAATCCGGAGCAAACTGAAGGTACAAAAATATACAAAAGCTAGGACTCCTGTAGTGCTGTATTTCATAAATCTGCAGAATAGAGGTTATTTTGTTAACTGAATGCATGCTTCAAAATACTGCAAAATTGTGTCTTTTTCAACTGCAAGTGAAGTTGAAATCTAAGTAAAGTTTTCTAATTCTCAAGTGTTTGAACTTCCTATTATGAAGCATATCATAACATATTCTCTGAAGACTGCCATCTTTTTTTAAACTTTATATATTTATTCCCCAGGTTTGACTTCAGCAGCTAATGGAGAAGAAGATCTGGATGAGAACTGGTTTGCAGACCTTTTGGATAATGATGGTGATGAAGGTCGAGTCACCGAGAAAAAACCGAAAAAACCTTGGTGAGAAGCACAATGTGTTGTTACAGAAATATTGATGCCAGAAATGACTAAACATACATTAAAGCATTTTTAAAATGACGTGCAGTGTTAACAGACCAATGCAGTTTTACTGTGTTCTTGTTTTTTTGTGTTCTTTATATTTACGTTGGTGTTGCCTTATTAATAATTTCTTGAAATCTTAAAAAGATTTAAATGAGTATGATGTATAAGATTATCTCTGTCTTTACAGTAGGGTACCTGACAACGTGATCCTTTCTGGAGGTCTGAACAACCGATACTGGGTTCTGGATGTGGAGGAAAAAAGTGGTCACAAAATACTGACCATCACTTGCCACAAATCTCTACATCCAACTGAAACCTGTCTGCTGAAGGATGACTGGTAATGAGCGGGACATTTGACCTGGTCACTGTGTTCTTATTGGTCACATCCACCAGTCACAAACAGAACCTACTTTGTTTTTTGTTCACATCCACCAGTCAGTTTCACAAACAGAACCTACTTTGTTTTTTGTGTTCAGGGTGATGACGCCCATCCGCTGTGGTGATGTGGTTCATCTGGAGGGCAGCTGTGACGGCGGGTCCTGGGTGGTGGAGAGAGATCAGGGCTTGCTGGTTTTACATCCTGATACCTTGATCTCAGGGACCAGCATTTCGAACTCCATCCGCTGCATGAGGCGCGCAGTCCTGAGTGATGTGTTCAAGGTGCAACTCTTCTAGACCTTTACAATAGTTCTCTTTTTGTGTCTTTAAATAGTTCTCTTCAATAGTTCAATAGTTCTCTTTTTGTGTCTTTAAATACACAAAAGGTACATTCAGGAAACAAATATTGTATAGCTAGTTATATGTTAAAAGAATCTGACAAAATTTAAAATTAACAAATTGATTAATCAAGTTGCCCATCGTTTATTATTAGACCTTTGAAGCCCTAGTAAAATTTTAATTTCAAGTCACAACCCCCTTTTTTCCCAGGTCTGAAAAAAAAGCAGATTTTCTCACTTAAGTAAAAAGAAAACTCCATCAGTTAACATCATTATATCAACTTCTACTAAGTTTCCTTTCCTTTTTGTTCTGTTCCCTGTGATGCAGACTTTTGACGGTGGCTCAAAACAGATGCTGAACGGCACGATGGTTCACAACGTGTTTCAGAGGGCAGCTGTGGCAAAAGATTTTTCTATGCAGACTTTGTCCAAGCTGGCAGATGAGGCGCTGTGCAGTCCTCAGTACATGGGAGACATGTAAGTTATAGATGTGAAGGATATATTCCACAGTGAACAGTTTAAACTTTCCAAAAAAAAAAATCCAAAACAAACTATAGAAGATGTTTGTTTGATCCTCAGGTACAGTCTGGGTGTGAGTCAGGAGGAAATGAAGCAGGAACTTTATCATTATCTGCCTTCCCTGGAACAATGGGCTAAAGAATACCTCATCTGCCAAAACCCAAAATCCATTGGTCTGAAAGCGTGAGTTTGTTTTCATATCAAACAATCACAACTGTGCAGACGTGTCTGTTTGTGCCGTTAACTGACACGTTGGACGTCGGTTCTGTCTGTATGGTTCCAGCTCCAGTAATGGCAGAGGTTCAAGCAGAGACCTGACCTCGACAAGTGTTGCCACGGTAGCAGAGCTGACCGATATAGAAGAGAACATGTGGTCACCAAGGTTCGGTCTGAAAGGGAAAATTGACGTTGCCGCACAGGTTCAGATCCAAAGACCTCCAAACATCAGGCATCAGAGAACCTTAGAGAAAAGGACTTTACCACTGGAACTAAAAACTGGACGAGAGACTAACTCGATAGAGCATCGCAGTCAGGTCTGTGGACCAGAACATGTCCACCGTACATTCACTGATGCAGTGGCGTTCAGAGAACTAACAAATGTACAGTACATGATGATGACTTTTTTTTTCTGTGTTCAGGTGATTCTCTACACTCTGATGGCCAAAGAAAGATACAACCCTGAGGCCGGCCTCCTTCTGTACCTGAAAACTGGAAACATACACTCAGTTATACCCAGTCACATGGACTACAGAGGTACAGAGCAGATACAAGGCAATATTTAAGGAAATAAACCTAAATCTTCATCAGTCTAACCATTCATTCTCTTATGTTTTTATTTTTTTCCCTCAGAGCTGCTGAAACTGAGGAACACTTTAGTTCATCACATTCACACCTGCGTGGACAGAGAAGTGAAGCCGAGCCGCCTGTCCAGACTTCCTGACATTCTGACCAACAAACAAACCTGCCAGTACTGTCCTCAGAGGAGAAACTGTGCTCTGTATGAAAGGTTAGACATTTTAACCCTTGAATTGTCCTTCGTTGTCCAGCCAGAGTCGTCTCTCACTGCCTCTCGTTGTCCTTCTCTTGACATCTGACAGAGCAGTGAATCCCAGCTCAGCAGACATAGAACAGGATGTTGTCCGTGAGTTCTTGGGGCAGGAGACCGGTCACGTGACGTCACCGCAACTGAGCTATTTCCACCACTGGCTCCTGCTCTGTTGTCTTGAGGCTGCCACCATGGAGGCGAAGAACGGCCGAAAGCGAGTGTGGCTGCAGACCGTGGAGGAAAGGTGGGAATCTTTAGATGAAATCCTTCAGTTGGAAAAGAAAATCCAAACTGTCTGTTGAGTTTTTGTCCTGTTTGCAGTGAGACGACTGGCAGCTGTGTGGGGAACCTGCAGCTCAGTGGTCCAGTCAGCGTCCAGTCTGGAGGAGTGTTCCTTCATAGCTTCCAGAAATGTAGAACAGTGCCAAAGCAGGGACTGGTCCGTGTCGGTCTGGTTCGCGGCGATCGCATCGTCGTCAGTGGACAGGAGGGTGGTCTGGTTGGTTTGGCCACAGGTTACGTGTGTGACGTCAGTGGGACAACCATCAGCTGTACTCTGGACAGGTGAGAGCTGGTCCTCATGTCTGTGCCTTCAGAAGAGGTTGAAACCAGGGACTTGAGTGTTGGCTGAAGTTCAGTTAAGTCACAGGTTTTAAATAGGATATATAGTTAATTTAAAAATTATGTATAAAGCAGATATATCTAAAATGTAACAAAAAAAGCAAACAAAAAGGGAAGGGTAAAAGGGAATAAATTACTAACCATTTATCATAGGGAAAATGTTAATTACTGATTTTTTTTTCTGACAGTTTGCTATATTTTTTTTTTAATTCCATGGACAGAAATTGGCCCACAGACCAGATATTTGATGCGTGAATTACTTTGTTTATTTAAATTTCTTTTGCTTTTCCAGAGATCTGTCCAAGTTGGTTGGTGTTGTGTTTCGTGTGGATGGTGATGAAGGTGTGGTGGGCCTCGGCACCCACCTCAACAATGTGTCCAGACTGATGGACAACTGTCAGGACAGGTGCTGACGCTAAGACGTAAACTCATTAGAAGCCACTCACACTCAGATGATTTTTATGTGAACTTGTTTTGTTTTTGTTTTTTTTTTCTCAGTGATCGTCTGAGGTAGCTGGTCGTTGACCTGCGACCTCCAGAGTTTATCTTCAACCTCAGCACTGTTCTGCCCAGAGAGGCAAAGGACACGGTGGCTAACATCCTGAAAGGTCTCAACATTTTTTTCCTGTGATTTTTCTTTACCTAACGCAGATTTCCACTGATGGCAGGTGACGCTCACCCAGTTAAACTTACCTTGTGTTTTGTGCAGGACTCAACAAACCTCAGAAACAGGCCATGAAGAAGGTGCTCCTCTCTAAAGACTACACACTCATCGTGGGAATGCCCGGCACGGGGAAAACCACCACCATCTGCACCCTGGTAACCTCCTTCAACCATAACCACCGACACCTTATGACTTGACCTTTAACCTTACAGCATGTCCTCCCTCCTGCTGTGCTTCCTCACAGGTTCGCATCCTTCATGCCTGTGGGTTCAGTGTCCTGCTGACCAGCTACACCCACTCTGCCGTGGACAACATCGTGCTGAAGCTGAAGAGGTTCAAGGTCGGGTTTCTGCGTCTGGGACAGGGCCAGAAGGTAACTTCTGGAGATTTCTGTCGTTTATGATTTGACTGATGAAATTTTCAGTAAAGAGAGGACATGTTTGAGAACCAGTTTCCCCTCTTAAACGTTTTTCCGATTCTTCCAGGTGCATCCAGATATTCTGCCCTACACGGAGGAGTCTCTCAGGAAAACGGGAGTTCGATCTCCCTCAGAGCTGGAGCAGCTTTATAACAAGGAGGTGAAGTCACTTTCATACAGATACATCTGTATTATATCTGTATAAGGCAGTGGTTCCCAAACAAACTTCCTGAAGTTTACATCAAATATACAGTACAGGTGAAGTCTCAGGCTGATGCCCAGCTTCTTCTTTTGGCAGCTGATTGTCGGGACCACCTGCATGGGCATCAAACATCCCATTTTCACCCGCCGGCGGTTTGATTTCTGCATCGTAGACGAGGCGTCTCAGATCAGCCAGCCCATCTGTCTGGGCCCACTCTTCTACGCAAAGAGATTTGTTTTAGTTGGAGATCACCAACAACTGCCTCCGATCGTACAGAACCACGAAGCCAGGTAAAATGTTTGTTATATGAATAATAATAAAAGTGAGATTTCCTCCATTAAAATAATGGACTGTTTTTTTAAGGTTTTGTTTGTTTTTTCCAGGTCATTGGGAATGGATGAGAGTCTGTTTAAAAGACTGGAGCTTCATAAAGAAGCAGTGGTTCAGCTGAATGTTCAGTACCGTATGAACAGGTGAGACAGTAACACGTGAAACCTCTGCGACTTTTTATTGTGATTATTATTAAAACATTTATTTGTCCACCTGCGACTTTTTATTGTCATTATTATTAAAACATTTATTTGTCCACTAATGGAATTATTAAAGTGTATTTAGTTTTTTTTTTAGTTTTATAATTTAAGATATTCAGTATTGAATTTGCAGAATTTGAATTGCAATATTTCAATGATAATTTAACAATTTGAGGTTTTTTTTTTTTGGTTTGGTTTTATATTATTTCCATGATAATTTAACAATTTGAGGGTTGTTTTTTTTTTTTTTTTTGGTTTGGTTTTATATTTCATTTATCTTATTATTAAAGTTTTTATTATTAAGTTTTAAAGTTGTTCATTATGTGATTTAAAGTATATTTATTATTAAAGTTTTAAAAGTTGTTCATTATGTGATTTAAAGTAAAAACTAAGTTGCAGCTTTATATTAGAAAATACATGAGAAATTATGTCTAATTAACATCAGGACTATTTGATAGTTTTTTTTATTTAATATTGAATTTAAATATTTATTCTGCAATGCAGTCGTTTTACTCCAGCACTGGTGAATGTCAATGATTTATCCTTCAGTTGAAGAAAATTGTAAAAAAAAAACAACTCTGCTTTATAATTCTCTAAACACCTATCAAATGTTTTACCCAGTAAAATCCAGCATAATAAAGATTACGTTATATAAAAAATAACTAATAGTCTGTTCTTTCTAATTTGTGGAACTGTCTGATTTAAAAACTTCTGCTGTAATCCCCAGGCAGATTATGTCTCTCAGTAACTCCCTGATGTACGAGGGTCGTCTGGAGTGTGGATCAGAGAGAACGGCCTCGGCTCTGCTCACGCTGCCTTTCCTGACCTCTGTCCAATCAGAGCTCAGATCTTACTCTGACAGTCATCCTCAACATGAACTAGACTGGATACAGTCCACGCTGCTACCCAGTAACCCTGTCTGTTTCCTGGACTGCTCAAAGGTTGGTGGATTGTTTATAAATGAATTCAATGGAATCTTAAGTCCGTGTTACTTGCTTGTGTTTTTATTTATTTTTTTAATTTTTGAGAACTCAAATAGTGTTTTTATTTTACTTTCTCTTCCCCGTCTCCTCTCAGGTGCCTGCACTGGAGTCAGTGGAACAGGGCGGAGTCAGCAATCACACTGAAGCTGCTATCATTCACAAGCTGCTTTCACTGCTCATTAAGGTACATCAGGAAACGGTGTCTTTCAGTGTCGGTCAGTGAACACGTGTTACATTCTCTCTGTTCTCGTTTTTTTTTTTTTTTCTTCAGGCTGGATGTAGGCCTGGTGACGTAGGAGTCATCGCTCCGTACAGACAGCAGTTGAAGAGCATCTCGGCTCTGCTGCAGTCAGCTGCCTTCACCGGGGTGGAGGTCAACACGGTGGACAAATACCAAGGTCGAGACAAAGCTCTGATTGTGCTTTCTTTTGTCAGGAGCACGCTAGAGGAAGGAACCGTAAGTATTTCCACACTGTTCTGTCCTGGATCTGTAGCTGTGTATGAACCTCAGTGTGACCTGGTCTGACCTCAGCATGACCTGGTCTGACCTTCTCTCCCCTCTTTTGACAGTTAGGTGAGCTGCTAAAGGACTGGCGTCGACTGAACGTAGCCATAACCAGAGCCAAACACAAGCTGCTGATGGTGGGCTCTGCTGCGACGCTGCGGCGCTACGCACCTGTGGAGAAACTCCTCAACCATCTCCAGCAGGAGAACATGATATCCTTTATGAACATATATATATGTATATATTTGTGCATACATATATATAATGCACATGCATACAGTATATGTACAACGTGTGGTCCTTAACATTTCCTTTACATCATTCAGCTTCCTCCAGCTGCTCACATGGCGATACCCAGCATGCACCTCTGACACAAGCGTCATCAGGTCATGACAGTGACTCACCAGGGACAGAGCAACAGTGTTGAGCAGCTTTAGCAGGTCGTTGAAGAATCACATATTCAGTGTCATCTCTTAAAAACTGACAAACTGTTAACAATTAACACGATATAATTTCAAATGACACTAAACAGTGAACTGGCTATGGATTCATAAAGTAATGACATGATGTCATAGCAAAAATCAGAAAAAAAGTAAGTTTTGTTTCTACCTCCTGTTTATATGTTAATTATTTAATTGTGAATAAATAATACAAATCTGAACAAATAATGTGGTGAGACGTTTGATTCTGTGCTGTGGACGTGTGGTGTGTGAGGTGACTACAGCGTGAGCGCCCCCCTCAGTACAGTGACAGTTTGTCCAGATATGTTTATTCTTCCGTCATCTCTCACTTCCAGCTTCAGCCCCCCGCCACGACTGGAACATTGGTACGCTGCACAAAACAGTTGAAACAGTTTCTAGATGGAAATGTATATATTTATATATATAGATAGATAAAACCCATGCAAAGGTATTTACCCAGCAGTTTCTTCTTTCCCAGTTCTTTAGACCAGTAACTGCCGAGTACAGTATGAGCAGAACCTGAAAGAAGAAAACAGAAAAAGAAAAGCTGATACAATGTTGTCTGAAATGTTTATGTAAATTGTAAAAAGAACCAAAAAAATGCTCCATTAAATTGTGCAGTTTGTGAACTGGTTTCTTTGACTGACCAGTGACAGGATCTTCAGGGATACCGTTCCATGGAGCGAAATATCTGGAGTAGAAGTCATATCCAGGCTGGGACTCTGGAGAACCTTCACAGTAATTTCTTACTTTATTTCTGGCTTGAACTATCTTTGAATTGTCCCCAGATGTCACAGAAAATTCATCTTTTTTTATTCAGTACCTTTTATAGTGACAATCACTCCTTTGACTCGTCCACTTCTCTCACTGTTCTGTAGGGCGACAGCATCCACTTTCAGATGGGTGAGCACTGACCTGAAAATAACGACGAGCCTTGAGGTGATGTGGATGTGAAGATTACTCATATAAACACTTGTGGTGCAGTTTTGGGGCAAATAGAGATAAAACATTTCAAACTAAGGCTCAGGGACCAATATAAGACACAAGAAAAAAAATATAATTTATTCAACTTCAATACAAAAGATAGTTATTAATTAGTGTTTACCAAAACAAGTTAGTAGATAGTTAAGTATACATTTATCTAAAATCTTACCATTTCTCTGTATTGCATCTTTTTTTTCTTTTTTTTTAGGTAAGACAAGGGTGAATGTAAACGTTTTGATTTCCTAATACTAGAAAGAAATACCTAAAGGATATTATGTCTGACATAGTGCTGGCAAGCCTTACAGTAAATCAAAATCTAATGCTAGTGCAACATCCTGTTATGCAGAGTGCTAACATGATTAGCTGTGCATGTTTGTGTCTGTGTGAAAGGGAGATTGAGTTGTTGTGATAGAAACCTGTCACAGCTGTCAGTCAGTCGAACCATCAGTTTCTTGGTGGTTGTACTCAGGTGGACACTGTGAACCGTGTTGTTTCCAACTGCAGCCTGTGTCACTCAGAAACCAGAAAAATAGAAAAGTCAAAAACACTGCTGGGAATGCCAAGACCAGAACACACACAAGGCATATGCTGTAGCTGAACTGAGAGTGGGAGAATATACATTTCTGTAAGATCTGTTATACTGACCTTGATGACATCACTAAATTCATTGGGGTCCTGGCAGACAGATGAGACAATAATAATAATAATTTGTTAGCCCCACAGTGAGAAAACAAGCATCAGTGGACCGCATTTTTACAAAAGACTAGAAAAAAATGATGTCCTCTGTAGGTACTGTCAATAGAGATTGAAGATGATTGAAGTCCCCTTGGAACCAGCTGTCTAAGGAGTTTATCTGAGTACAGACTGTACCTGCTGGACAGGTGGGTTAAGAGGGAAGTCCATGACGTATTCATCTTTGAGCTGAGCGACAGCCAGGTCTCCACTCCTGGTCTCAAACACCAGCACAGGGTTGACATTCTCTAACAGAGTTATTACAAAGTCATTTTTAACATTGTTTAAGCCATTCTTAACTTGAGTACATACTGATGTGGATGCATGTGTATCTTACTCTTATGCTGGAAAAGCACGGCAGCAGAGGCCAGAGTAGCATGGCCACAGAGATTCACTTCAGTGGTCGGTGTAAACCAGCGGAGACGAAATCTTGATGCTACCAATCAGTTGAAGGACGAGTAGATTATCACAAACTCTAAGTTTAAATATGTGCTAGAAGTACTACAGTTTAAATATAATTAAGTTTAAGTTTAAGTATAGATTAAGTTTAAACTATATAAGATAAAGTTTAAATATGTGCTAGAAGTACTACAATGTTAAAAAAAATTGTCCGTGGCACACAAAATGCAAAATTTAAATTTTATTAACATTAAATATTAAATAATTGCTATCATTGCAGTACAGTTGCAGTCATTTTCTAACCTGTGGAGAAACTATCAGAGGTCTGGATCTTGGTGATGAACACTGTTTCTGACAGGTTGATCTCTGCTGCTATCTTCTGATACAAATCATCCGTCAGCTCCTGTTACAACAAACATTTTTTTGTATTGCAACATGTTTTTGCATAAGTGCAGAATGGGACCTGTAGGATCATTCACCATGCAACTATTACAGCACAACATAAATTCCAGTAATTTTGCTGAGACAGGTATTAAAGTGCCGGCTTCTTAACAGTTACATGAATGTCTTTACTTACATGCGTTATGGGACACACAGCTGCAGGGTTGCCTTTAAAAGGTACATTAGTAAAGGCATCCACTGTAAATACTGGGATCTCCATGACGATAGGAATTTAAATTAAGTGGTTAGAAGTAAAAAAAAAAGATTTTAAAAAGTACCTCAGCAATAAGGCAGAGAGCACTGTTTGTTCTGGACACTGTTAGCCCAATATGGTTCATGGACTTTGGACCTTGTCTGTCTGGTGTCAGCCAGTCCTACCTCAGTTTAACTTTTTACATCAGCTTCTACCAATATAACTGTTTAGCAAAGCACTAAGTAATACACGTTTTCTTTCAAAAAGAGGTTGCCACGGATCGAAAATTGGGTTTCAGGTAATAACGTTAATCTACATCTTTAGTCGTGTAGTGTAAAGCATAAAGGTTTAGGATCATACTAATACAGAATGATCCTAAACTAGTGAGGAAAGAATATGATTAAAGAGAAAAGTTTGGGTTACGTAACAAGTATTTCTCTCGCTTAATAAATAGATCTTGATATACCAACTCGGAACTACAATGTTAAGTTGAGCAGAGTATACTATATGGTATAATAATATAATATGTATATTATATGTATGCAATATGTATATTTTCTTGTTTATAATGTATATTTTTTTCTAAAGGTTTACTTTAATTTTTGAGTGCTCTTTGCTTTTTAGTTCTTTTTTACTCTATTTATTGTGTTAACTCCTCTTCTCTCTTTTTCTGCACTGCCTACTGTACTGGTATGTTTCCCCCAAGGGGGATGAATAAAGCCCTACTCTACTCTCTACTCTACTCTAATATTTTGGGGTTATCTGCAACCTACATACTGCAGTTACAGCAGCAAGGGGGCGTGGTTTGGGACGAACGTAAATCCTGTTTCCAGCAAATCTCGCGAGGTTATACCTGTGAGCGTCTGTCGGTGGTGTCACCTGAGACTCGGGACCGGACGGGGGCAGACCAGGGATATAGGAAAATGTAAGACATTTTCATGTTTTAATCAATGTCGTTCGTCTGTTAGTGGATATTTTCATTGACAAATCCAATGCATAAGGTCTGAATTACAGGAAGTGTCCCCTACATTTGACCGCTATCCGTGTCCTGGCGTTAGCCGCCTTTAGCAGCTAACTGCTAACTACCGCAAGTGTTGCTCAGCTAACACAAGCTCTTCCGGCCAAGCGCAGCTTGGCACCTAACCGTGTGTCGTGGGGTTCATCTTCAATTTTCCTGAACTTCCCAGCTAGTGTTTATGCAAAACTTTAAAAACACATGAGTTGTGAGTTTTTAGAAAGTTGAATTCGCGGAACCGGAGACAACCAAGTCGGAGGTAATGCAAATTAGCTTATTTTACGGCTGTGGCAGCGACCCAAACTTACCAAGCGCTAAACCAATACGGAGTCAACTTTCATCATTCTCCGGGCAAAATGAAAAATGTCACAAACATGGTTCGTTTGTTTTAAATACGATGTCAGTTTCTTAATTAAATTATTTACAAGGTAGATAAAATTATACGGACGACTTGGTGAAAATGGTAGTCCCTGTTTTAAAGTTCAATATACGGTTATGTATTGTTATTGAGTTGTAACGTTATGTAAACAGTACACGACCTCGTGTACGTATACACTACGATATGTTGTAACATATACAGGATAACATGCTTGAATTTCAACACTTATAATACTTTAATTAAATGTGCTTCTTCTCTATTATTTTTAAAGTGGCAGTGAGGATGTCTTCAAGTGATGAAGGCTACGTGGTACGTGTTAGAGGACTACCCTGGTCCTGCACCCAGGAGGAGGTGGCCAGTTTCTTCTCTGGTGAGAAAATACATACATTGGTGCTGCACAAGGAAACATGTAAACAATTCAAAATACGAACACTATGTTGAACTCTTTTTTTTTTTTTTTTTTTTTTCCCAGTGGGGTTGTCTTTTAACATTTAATGAGAGTTGGGGAAAAGTACTAGTCCAGACCATTGGTTCAACAATAATGTGGTTTCTAGTGTTTAGTGCATTTTCTTTAAAGAAACGGCATAACAAAGGACAAAAGCCTTAATCACTTTAAAGGCAAGCAACCCTTTGGTTTTAATGCATGTGGCAGGAAGTCTGTTAAGTAACAAGAAAAGCAAAACAGTCAGGACAACAATGCATTTAACTCTGAACTTAATTTTCCATTCTTACAGATTGTGACATTGTTGGAAAAGTAAACGGAGTTTGTTTCACCTATTCCAAAGAAGGCCGTCCCAGTGGTGAAGCATTTATTGAACTTAAAACAGCCGATGATTTCAAGAGCGCCCTTTCTAAGGATCGTAAATACATGGGACACCGCTATGTAGAGGGTGAGTAACATTTATTACATTTTAAATGTTTTGTCACATCTTGAAATCTTGCTACTAAAATAATATTGTTCCTGTGTTGTTGTGTGTTGAGGCTGGTTTTAAAATATATTTGGTTTGAATTCGTGTTTTACGATATTAACAAGTTATAAGCGCTTGCAAATAATTTTGTTTGTATAGTTTATTTGTTGTTTTGGCAACTTGGAGTATGACATTTTGTCTCTTTCTGGTTGAAGTATTCTGGCAACTTGGAGTATGACATATTTTGTCTCTTTCTGGTTGAAGTATTCAAGTCAAAACGTAGTGAAATGGACTGGGTGCTGAAACGCAATGGTCCCATGGACTATGAAAGCGGCAGTGGCTGCATGCTGAGGTTGAGAGGTCTGCCCTTTGGCTGCAGCAAGGAGGAGATTGTCCAGTTCTTCTCAGGTAAAGACGTTTGGTCTTTTTTTTTTAACTGCACCTAGAGGACACCAAGTGTATTAATCTCAGTGATACTATTTATAGACTTGCAGTAAATTGTGTGGTATAGCTTATTACTTATTAAACTACTAATTATAATACAGCTTACAAATGTACACACTGAGCCTATATTGCAATGCAAGGCCAATTACTAGTCACAATTCTTTTTGGAGTTTTTTTAGCGCATGAAAAATTACAACATTATACCGTTACTGTTTTGTCAGTATTTGAATTATTACATTTTAATAGAAACTAAACAAAAACACAGAAAGGACTGTTATTTATATCAGAATATCTTATCCCATAGATTTTTAAAACAAATCTAGTTTTAAATCTGACTAAATGATAGCTCTATGAAGTTTGTATTGCTGTAGCTGGTGAGGTTGGTAAGAAACTATATCCAAATGTGTGTCACGATCCAAACATGTAACGTCTTTGTGTTTGTAGTGTAAGTACTGTCCTACTGTATTGACCAGAATGTCTTTGTAATGAAGTGTTTTCCTCCTCATTGTTAACTCCTTATTTATCTTGTTTGTGTTGAACTAGTTGTATATCATGCCTCCCAAAAGTGTCTTTAAAGAACAGAATGGGCTGGGCTGGTTTGGCTAAGGGAACAGCACTGTCATACTGATCTGCGGTCAGTGCTTTCTGGTTTCCACATATGTCTCCAGGCCAGAAAGAGACTATTTAAATTAATCAGAAATTAAGATGCTTCACCTCTAAAAATATGGCAGTGGGCAGACAACATAATACAGTATAAAATATTTATGCAATACTTCCATAATAAAATAACATATACAACAGTATAAAATATTTATGCAATACTTCATACAATGTACCATTAAATGTTATTTTCCCTCCTTTTTAGTTTCTCATTTTGTGAATAAAAGTTGATTATTTTTCTGTGTGCCATACAGGCAACAAAAACTTAAATTACTGTGTGATACATAATTATGTAGCATGTTACAATAACCTTTTTAAAAATAATTTTTACATGCTTCTGTTGAAAACAATACTCAATCTTATCAAATGATTTGCCACCATCTGTGGAAAGTCTTTTTTTTAAATTAAATTCATTGAGGTTTTATATGTGTCATGGTCATGGTGTCTTTAACGCAGATGTACATGTGTGGAGTGTTATCACAGTAAGAACGATATCAAGCACTTGCTCCAATAAAAGAAGGCTGCGTAGACTGTCAAATGACAAAAGCCTGATGGGGTTTCCATGTTGACACATACTTTTCTCTGAATCAATTACTACGTCATCTTAAAAGAACCATCCGTCCATTAACACCTCTGCATTTTTCATAGTCCTTGGTCTATGCTGATCCCAGGCCAGTATTTGCTCTGTTCCCTTAGCCGACATCTCAAAAGTATAATTTATATAATATAATTGTTCAGATGCTCCCTTCAATTCAAGTCAAATTATTACGGACAAGTTGATGTTTTATATGCTGTCCTAACATACAGTATATACATGATTACTCATCCAAAGCTCCAGTGATGCAGAGGGTGTTGTTCTCTCTATTCTATATCAGCCTACCTACCGACCAATGTATTTGTGTGCTTGGGTTAAAGGGTTGAGAATCGTGCCAAATGGGATTACTCTGCCAGTGGACTACCAGGGGAGGAGCACAGGGGAAGCCTTCGTGCAGTTTGCCTCAAAGGAGATAGCAGAAAAGGCTCTGGGGAAACACAAGGAAAGAATAGGGCACAGGTGGGACAGATGGGGAAAGGGATGGGCTGGAATGGGATGGGCTGCTGCTGTAGCACTTATGGGGGGAAATGGGAGTCAATATCAGACTACTGTCGTAACAATGGAATGGGTTGTGTGATAAAATGAGTTTGTATGCTTAAGTAATGTTGGTGTAATGGGAAGTCAGTTGGGTGGGACGTGGGTAATTAAAAAAATGTTAATGGGATTAATGGGTTCCTTTGCATTGTTAATGATGGTGTGATTTTTAGCAGGGTGAAAAAGAAGTGATGTATGAACCTTACAATTAATGCAGTGTGATTAATTTTATGATACTTTTGAAAGGGAGCTATTTACAATACGGGATCGTTTGGGAACATTCATCACACTTTGTGTAACCCCCCATTGTTGTTTTATGTTAGTGATCAAAGTTTACAGCCCAAGAAGGGATAAAAATATCCACGAATAGCGGACAAGAGTCAGAGCACTCTTAAAAACACGCTGATTTAGTAAAAGGTTGAAAAGCAACATTTAAAATCCAAGTCTGTTTTAATTTAAGAATTAACACTGCTGCAAAAATCAAGTTTCAAGTTCAGCCCTAAGCCCAGTAAAGTTTGGTGTTGTTGAGATTGTCTTAATAAATCAGTCCAAACCATTTTTTTAAATAAATCCTTTTTTTAAGTTTTTACATTCACATATAGCGTGTGTCTATGTCTTAACTTTAAACCTCTGTCCCCTACATCACTCGGGCCTCTGGTCTTACAGGTACATAGAGATTTTTAAAAGCAGTCGTAATGAGATCAGAGCCTACTATGAACCAGCTCGAAGAGGGGTTGGAGCCCAGAGGCCAGGACCCTACGACAGACCGATGGTGTCGGGCCCGCGGGGAGGGTTCTTTGGGCCCAGCCTCAATCGGGGGGGCAGCATGATGAACAACATGAGAGGTGGAGGGGGCTATGGAGGAGGTGAGTGTGCCACGTTTTTACTAGCTCAAAGGGCAATGGAATGATGTAATGACAGTGAGGAGAATCATAAAAAAAGAAATACTTTTGTATGTTTGTATATATATGTGCATATATATATACATGTATATCTGTGTATATATTTATAATTTTATATATAGGTATATAGATGTATGTTTGTGTGTAAGAATGTCTTCATATATAAATGTATTTATATATACTGTATATATATGTGTATATATGTATATATGTGTATATATGTATATATATATCTGTATATATATATGTGTGTGTGTGTGTCCATGTGTGTTAGGCAAATGTATGATGTATTTTATGTACATATGTATGTATTTGGGGGACATTTGGTGTTTTTTTTTAAGCTTGAATATGTGTTACTGCTCTTGTGTTTCCTCTTCCATAATACTGTCTTCCTCTGCTTCTGTGTTGGTAACTGTTTCCAGGTTACAGTGGCTTTGACAATTACAATGGTTTCAACAACTATGGATTTGGCAACGACGTTTTTGACGATCGAATGAGGGGAGACAGGGGGGGAAGAGGTGAAGTTACTGAGGAGATGGGGCTCATGAAGCTTTAATCAACAATATATTTCAGCAATACTTTTTAAAAAAAATTTTATTTGCTGTTATTTAAATAGTCGTTTAACAAAGAAATGTCACGATGGCTTGGTTTAACAAAGAAATGTCATGATGGCTTGAACATTCCTTCCCTCACAGAGGTTTGTGTCGGTGATCAGATCAACATTCCTGCCCTCACAGAGGTTTGTGTCGGTGATCACATGTTTATTTGGCACAGGGATGGGAGGCCACAGTTATGATGACCATGTTGACGGGGGTGCAGGCTTTCACGGAGGCCACTTTGTCCACATGAGAGGTCTGCCTTTCCGTGCCACAGAGGGCGATGTTGCAAAGGTAAGAACACAAGCTGAAGTCGGCGTTAACCTGTAGGTATATGTTAGATATATTATTATTAAAGAAAGTTAATAAGTTAAAGAAATGTTTTTTTTGACCTGATGATAAAACTCTCCCAGGCTGTCAGAGAGATGTCTCAATGTGTTTTATTATGTTATTATTAAAATTACATCATCTTTCTTAGAACTTTTTGACTTGATCCTAGTATTTCTGTGCGTTTTCGTCTCGTCCTTCGTTTAGTTCTTCACCCCTCTGAATCCACTGAGGGTTCACATCGATGTGGCTCCTAACGGCAAGTCGACTGGAGAAGCTGACGTGGAGTTTCGCTCCCACGAAGATGCCGTGGCCGCCATGTCTAAAGACAAGAACCACATGCGTACATTCTCTTCTTCAGTTTCAGTTTGTTTTACATTTATTGCATTTTTAAGAAAGCTGTGAAAAGAAGAATACAAAGTCTCTACATTTAGTATTAAAAGTGTGTTTGTGTTCACTGTCACAGAGCATCGCTACATCGAGCTGTTCCTCAATTCCACGGCTAGTGGACCTGCTGAAATGAGTGAGTGTCAAACGTGGCCTTCAGTCATCACCATGACAACATTGACGCCTCAGTTCAAAGGAACTGTTTCCTGTTCATCGAAAACATTTTAAAATGTATCTCTGGTTACAATCATCCTCAGGTCGCGGTGGATGTTACTACGGTAATTCCGGAGGAGGTGGAGCCTCAAGGAACAGTGGGCTGCGCGGTTCATACTGATCATGACTTACCATGTGTGAGATTATGACTTTATATCCAGGGCACCGAAGAATTGTCCCACAACAGTGAAGGGTTTAAGAGTCTCTACACACAGAGGTACAGGCAGTGAGTTGTTTGTTTTCTTATTTTGTTCTGGTTCATCATGTTGTTGTGTGTTTGCTGACTTTGTATTCACGCAATATGATGTAAAAGCTTAACATTTCTACATGTCCTAGGAATGGTTCTGTGCTTTCCACTGTGCTTCATTGTTTACAAACATGTTTTCAAAAATACCGTTGACAAAATTAGTCTTAGTCTAAAAGAAGTGGACATAATTAAACCCTGGTGGCTACAGGGAAACACAGCAGTTTGTATTTCAGTTCTGATTTGGTTTTTGATGTTAAAAATTGCAGTTGTTTGAATTTCATTTTAAAATGTAATTTATTCCAGGCTAACTGAACATGAAAGATAATTTATATTTTGGTCTAAACAAACCTTAATTGGCAAAGTGGGTAACAAGTGATTATTAAAAATATATTAAATACCTGAAAGAAAGGGTAGTCAGGCAATTCATTTAACCCAATTTTATGTGTCTTAAACTGTTTATTTTTATTGTCTCTCCTGCTTTGAAATGTTTGGTAAATGTGAGCCAGTGTGAGGTTGTTTTTTTTATTGTTTCCCACAATTCAGTAAAGTTTCAAACTTAGTTGAAATTGTATTCCACTCTCAGAGAGGGGAAGTGAAATCAAGTCTATATTTGAGCTGTAAGATAGCGTCTGCAGCTGTTGTACATTTTGTCTAATAAATTTTATATTTAATTCACTTTTTTTTCCCTGTCTGTCTCCAACGCTGAACCGACAGTAGAGGGCACTAGTCTCTGAATAAGAATTTATTTAGATAAAAAGTTGTCGTGATTGTTATACAACAACATACTGTATGTAAACGTAATCTATTCAAATCTGTGTGTTTGTGTGTGTGTTTGTGTCTGTGTGTGTGTTTGTGTCTCTGTGTCTGTATGTGTGTGTGTCTGTCTCTGTGTGTGTGTTTGTGTGTTTGTGTGTGTGTCTGTGTGTGTGTTTGTGTCTGTGTGTGTGTGTGTTTGTGTCTGTGTGTGTGTGTGTTTGTGTCTGTGTGTCTGTGTGTCTGTGTCTCTGTGTGTGTGTGTGTGTGTTTGTGTCTGTGTGTCTGTGTGTCTGTGTCTCTGTGTGTGTGTGTGTGTGTTTGTGTCTGTGTGTACTCAGACAGTGTGTATCGACCGTCCTCAGTAAGTCCTTCCTAACTCCACTTGGTTTTGGCTTCCAGGCTGCTGTGTCGTAAAAAGTGGCGAGTGTGTGTTTGTATCTGTGTGTCTCTGTGTCTGTGTGTGTGTATGTGTGTGTGTCTGTATGTGTGTGGCTGTGGGTTTGTCTCTGTGTGTGTGTGTCTCTCTGTGTGTGTGTGTCTGTATGTGTGTGGCTGTGGGTTTGTCTCTGTGTGTGTGTTTCAATGTGTGTCTGTGTGTGTCTGTGTGTGTGTATGTGTGTGTGTCTCTGTGTGTGTGTGTCTGTATGTGTGTGTCTGTGGGTTTGTCTCTGTGTGTGTGTTTGTGTCTCTGTGTCTGTGTGTGTGTCTGTGTTTGTAGCTATGTCCATTTCTGTTGTAAAAATTCAGAAAAAATATACACACAGAGAAAGTTGGTGTACCGAAAAAGTGGTACGCCAACTTTCTGTGTGTGTGTCTGTATGTGTGTGTCTGTGGGTTTGTCTCTGTGTGTGTGTTTCAATGTGTGTCTGTGTGTGTGT